CTCACATCACTAAACTGTAGGTCAGTTTCAAGTTAAAAGGACTAGCGAAGAGGAGACAAAACAAATCTGACCAATCGCATCCACGGAAAATCTAAAGTCAGAAGATGCTTTCAGCTCCAATATTTGATCTTCAACATTCATCTACCTTCCAATATCAAAAGAAAGCACTTTCTTGTATCAAAGAAGACTGTCAGGCTATAATCTGACCTTTAACAATCTAGCAGATAAAAGCTGCCACTGCTTCACTTTGAACGAGATATAAATAAATGTGGGAATTTGAAATCGTGACTGCTGTGTACACTCCCATAAGTACTATAACTACACTAGGAAGATGCAGAAAGTGAATCTCTTTGTTGGTGGTTGTCCTGGTCAAAATAAATATTCAATCATGCCGGCGATGGTGCAATATTCTATCATTCAACGCATCAAAACAACATCAAAGAGACTTCACTCAAATTCTTGGAAACAGCTCATTGACCAAACGATGGCGATGCAGTACACAGTACAAAAAGCACAGCAGTGTCAAGGGCAGGGGCGTTTTTGTCCTGACCAATTTTAACGGAGGACAGTCATAAAACTTACAAGAGCAAAACAGCCACATCATGTGACTCCCATTTGAGCATGGAGGTTTGATTGACTTCAAGAAACTATCTGTCACTTGTGTATATTGAATGTTTGCAGAGATTCAGAAAGGGACGAAATTATAAACTGAAGCGATATTATGGAACAGACTATTCAATAACCATTTATTTCCTACAAACCCATCGTACCAAACAGTGACCTTTAAGTCCCAGAAAAATCAAGTCAAAGACGTTCCATTGTCTGCACTGAACCATGAACAGCCTAAAAAAAACAACCCTATTGCCAAATACACTTTTCATCAGACTGGGGGAACACAATGTTCTTTTAACTTTGCCACATGTAACTATAACAAGCTACCTCTGTGTTTTCGCATTGAAGTGCCTTTCCAGATCATTCTAATCTTTCTTAACAAACACTTGCGTTATAGTTCTTTGATAAACGGAGTATTAAAGGCTAAAACGTTTATAAGGTATTACACAAATTCATTACCCCTGCTCAAAATTTATCGTTCTACAAATATTGTTGTCTAAGGGTGGTGCAGAGTCCTGAATGAAATGATCTGTGCGGTACTTGTAATTTTATACTCATTGTATTGTGAAATTCTGCATAAAGCCAGAAGAGAATGACTTGAAGACAAGTAAGAAAGCATAACTCTTTGAGTTATTTATTTACATTTCATATCGTGGAGGTACCAAAGCTGCTCATTGTCTTTTTCTTGCTGTTTTTCACATCTCCAAAATAGATCAGTTTGGCATATTGAGTTGATAAGCCTGTTCAATAATCAAGAATAAAATCCCTTTTTTCTTATATTCTATTACCAAACAATGTGGTGTATAGTCAATCTTGTGTCTTTACGGACATAAGTATGTTCTCACAAACAGGCGTATCACCTATTTTAAACAATTTCTTAAAAACTGATAAAGCAATATCTATAATCGTTATAGGGAATGATAAATCAGCGGTTGTACTATCTTGCCAAAAATGGAAACGAAAAAGCAAATGGTTATGCCACAGCGAGAATTTAAAAAGAGTCCAAAACTTTGAAACGCTCTCCTGGAAAATGCCAAAAATGCTCTTGCGCCCTTTTGTGGGATGGGCGACGATATGTTCTTTTTTTTATTTGAAGTGGACTCCATCATATGTTCTTTTTTTATTTGAAGTGGACTCCATCATATATGTTCTTTTTTTATTGGAAGTGGACTCCATCATATAGGGCCTATGTTCTTTTTTTATTTGAAGTGGACTCCATCATATATGTTCTTTTTTTATTGGAAGTGGACTCCATCATATATGTTCTTTTTTTATTTGAAGTGGGCTCCATCATATATGTTCTTTTTTTTATTAACTCTTGATTTGCTGTTCAGAAGCAATTGTCTGTCTGGGGTTTTTTTTCTTCAGCCTTGTTGATCCATGGGAGTCCCTCTTTATAATTTCTAGAGCTGTTTGTGTGGCTTAGCTTTCATATGCTTTGATAAAACACACCCATCAGTTTCATAAGGGAATCAGACATTCAGTTTACTAGCCTTTTAAGTTTTTACATTTTTGATAATTTTTATTAAAACCAGGACAATTCTTACTTTTACCCCCTCCCCTCCTCTTCTCAACAACGCTTAAACACAAAAAACACATACATATGCACAGACTAAACTGGTGTCTGTGGTGTACGGGTAAGGTGGTTCACTGCCACATGCAGGAGACCCGAGTGCGATTTCTGAGTGGGGCGAAGTTTTATAGAGGATCTCTGTCTGTCTGCTGGGATGTTGTATCCCTCTCTGTCTGTCTGCTGGGATGTTGTATCCCTCTCTGTCTGTCTGCTGGGATGTTGTATCCCTCTCTGTCTGTCTGCCGGAATG